GTTATCTCCCCGACGTATAGGGCTCGGGCCCACTGCTTCCGCTCTCCAGAGGTGTCGCCTCCCTGGGGTCCCCCGAATATGAACGAACATCGATGGTACTTCCGGGGGCCGTTCCCTAGGTCGGCATCATCTTCCTCGGAGAAGGCGCCGAGCTCCCGCTTCTTGGCAGGGGGTGTCTCCTTTGACGTGGTAGCTTGGTCGGACCGCTGCCACGTCAGGCTCCTCTTCTGCGGGATGCCTCCTTGTTTGCCAACGAATTGGCCCAGGTACCCTTTCTGGATGAGTTCTTCAATTTGCCGCCGGAGAATGACGCAATCATCTGTATCATGCCCTGCTCTCCGATGGAATCGACAATATCGGTCGTGGTTGCGCTTGGCAGTCACCACATCACACTCCTCAGGAAAGTCGACTAAACCTTGCTCCTCCGCGTAGTCGAGGATGGCCCCGACCGGCTGAGCAAGTGGAGTCAATTGCTTGACGGGCTGTAGCGGTCCGCTCGGGACGTCCGCCTTGCCCTTGCCCCTACTTTTGTTACCTTTGTATTTGTTGTTTTTGTTGCTAGCTTTGCCGTCAGCTTTCTCAGCACCCGAACCGCCTTCCTTCTTCTTTTCTTCTTTTGCACCTTCTTCCTCATCTCTTTTCCTCTGCAAGGCGTCCTCCGCCTCGGCTTGCCGGTCGGCACGGCCGAGCGCCTCCTCGTACGAGGTAGGGGGACTTCTGACGAAATCTTTGTAAAGCTCGCCCGATCGGATAGAGTTTGTGAGCATGGCCACCCCGGTCCTGTCATCAAGGCCCTGAACCTTTACTGACTCGGCCCTCCACCTCGCTAGGAAGGTCGACAATGGTTCCTTCTTCCCCTGTTTTAGGCCGAACAGCTGGCTGAAGTTTTTCTTGACGTCTCGGGAGCTCGCGAACCTCAAGAGAAAGCGCTGAGCTAACTCACGGAAATTCGTGATACTCCCGTCGGGTAGAGAGTCATACCATTCACGAGCCGGGCCATCCAAAGTGGCGGAGAAACCGCGGCATCGGATTGCGTCCTCGTACCCCATCATGACCATGTAGGAAAGGTACCGAGATACATGATGCTGGGGGTCCGAAGCGCCCTTGTATGCTTCAATGGCGCAGGGCTTGTAGCCCCTCGGCAACGGCGCATCCATGACCGCCCGGGTGAAGGGTTCGGGTATCCGGAGGTCGGCCGTGTAAGGCTCCCCCCCGACAACCCTCCTTCTCAACTCGTCAAGGCGCTGTCGTAGATCTTCCACCTCGGTCGGCGGTGGGTTCCCCCGGACAGCTCCAGCGCGGGGCTGGGCATGTCCGGCGGCACCTCCAAGTCGTCCGTGCATGTGAGGTCGGGGCCCCACGTTTTGCCTCTCCGTGGAGCCAGTCCGACTGCTCGCCCGGTGAGAGTGGCGAGAGGGCTCGCCTCCTTCCATCTGCGTTGGGCGCCCCTGCTGGGCGCCCCTCCCCGTCTGTCGATGGGGTCGGCTAGGCTGCTGAGAGACTTCTTCCCCCCGCCGATGGGAGACTTCTTCCCCCCTGTTTTGGTTGGATCCAGAGCGTCGCTCATCACGCCGCCTGGAGGACACCTCCACATCCGCTGGCGTCTGTTGACGGGCAGGCTCATCCACATTTCCGCCAGACATCATCTGTTGGAAATTTTGAGCCAAGGTCCCCAGAACCCGAGTTGCCTCCTGCAGGGCTTCCACCCCGGCATTGAGTCGAGCCGGGTCCATGCGCAGAGCATGACGTCGGCCTCCCCCCCGTCGGCTGCGGACCGAGCGCTCACCTTGAGTGTGGTTGAGCGTCGCCCTTAGGTCGCCGTGGCCTGATAATTGGTTCCGAAGGTCGCCTTGGCGCGCCGCCCTCCTGCCCTGTGCATGGTTGTCGAGGGCACGCTGGCGGCCAGACCGGGCGGACTCCTCGGTGTGGACTGAGACATGGTCACGTCGAGACGAGATTCCAGCCATCTTCCTGTGTGATTCCTACTCAAGTTATGTGAGAGACAATAGAGGCTCTCAATGAAAGCACCAATGTTGGTCCAAAATAGGACGTTCGTAGGCTTTTAGGAAAGCTACGTACGACACTCAAGCAAGAATTAGGAAAGTATGAATATGGAAAGTTAGCCAGAAATAGCATCCCTGTATTTGAAATTCGAATTGCCTTTTATAGGCGATTACAAATGGTAACTGCCGAACATAATAATGACTAAATTAATTACAACATTAATACGGAATTAAACACATAATTAAGTAGCGCATTGATTGTTGGCCGTTACTCTTCCTGGCTGGCAGGTCAGCCTGGCTGGCAGGCTGGACGCTTGAGCTCCCTCCTGCTGGACTGGACGGTGGGCATCCCGCTAGACTGGAGGAAGGCTTCTCACCGGGCTGGAGGCAGGCTCCCGGGTAGGCTGGAAGGCAGGCTCCCAGGTAGGCTGGAAGGCAGGCTCCCCACTGGGCTGGAAGGCAGGCTCCCCACTGGGTTGGACCGCAGGCTCCCAGTTGGGCTGGACCGCAGGCTCCCGGGTAGGCTGGAAGGAACGCTCCCGGGTAGGCTGGACCGCAGGCTCCCAGTTGGGCTGGACCGCAGGCTCCCAGCTGGGCTGGTGGTCGACAGGCTCCTGGCTAGGCTGGAAGGCAGGCTCCCGGGTAGGCTGGACCGCAGGCTCCCCGCTGGGCTGGTCGACAGGCTCTCTTGGGCTTCCGCTCCTTGATTGCCCTGGTTGATCGGGCTGACTCGAGCTCTGGGTTGCTGGGCTTGGGCCCGCTGGTTCAAGTTCGGGGCCTGGAGAAACGAAGAGGCCTTATAACTGTCCAGGACTCCGATTCATCTTGACAAGCTCCCCCACTCGTCCTCAGAATACCAAGAGCTCCTAACCGTTCCGGCGTCCCGTCGATTGATTAACAAGCTGCTGACACCGGGAAGTTTTCACTCCGGTTGTGACAGAAACAAAGAAAGACAAAATCAATGGCCATCCTTCAAATCATAAACCAGCAGTAGAAGAACCACCGGAACCAACTTTGTTATTTCAAAGTCAAAGACCGGTCTGTTTCACCCAACAAACGCCGGTACTGTATCCTCCATCTTTTCCGGCCAAGTCACACCACGAACTGAGCTCCAGTAGCTAGCCAAATACGCACTTCAAAAAGTCATCATCTTCCTCCACACCACCGAAATGGTGGAGATGTAATCCAAAAAGCACCAAAAGACTCACCGGAGCCGGGACGGCCCCGGCGGCGGCCACCGCCCAAAGTGATGGTGTCGACCTGAAGGGGAAGAGTAGCCCGAGTGGCTAGAGAGAGACTCTCTCAACTTCCTTCTTCAGCCTGCAATTTGATTTCTAATTTCTAGTGTAAGAATGCTTTCATTTACATTAAAGTTTTATGGTCTCATTTGATGTTGTCTGGTTCATTAAATTTGTATTGGTTTAGTCTAATTTGTCTAGATCTATTTGATTAGAACCATTAAATATATAATCTTACTATAATCTACGGAGTATGTTTCATGTAATCTTGTTATCTAGTCTTATATAATATGTTTATATCTAATATAATCGGATCGACTTTTAAATGAGAGTGAAACCAATTCAAATGAAACATCCTCTATAATCAATATTACTGCGTGTTCCAAAATTCTCACGCCCATAGGTTTTCCCTATTTGGCCTTCTTTCCAAAACTCATCCAAGATCTATGAATCAAATATCATTATAATACAAATCATTCACTGATTCACACCAACTAGGATATGAAATGTACAAGAAACGTTGATATTATGGTGGATTTCTACCATCATCTTCCACATTCCACTCGACCACTTATGGCTCATGCAATTATGCAAATTAGATATAACCTTTGTAAATATTTAAAACAACAAAACATTTAGGCCCTGTTTGGTTCACGGAATGTCAGATTATTTTGGGAATGTCAGTTTAATGGGTATGTTAGATTGATGGGAATGTATTCAATTATATTCCATTTATGTTTGGTTGAGACTAAAGGAATATCACATTAATTTGTTTGGTTGAGTGATATCTTATACTAGAGATTTGGTGATTTTCTTTTAGCACAATAAATTTATTACTCCGTACAACCTGCATTTAAACTAACTAAATTAAAGGAAAAAATGAAATACCTTAACAATAAAAAAAATTAAAACTAAATGAATTATGATTAATTGTACAAATGACAAAGATACATTGTGGATGTTGCACCCAAAGAGAAAGATAAGTGGACATTAAAAAAAATTGTTTAAATAAATACATAATGACATACATCAATAAATACATGTGAATATATCATTACCAAAACAGTTGTATAAAAAGAACAAGTCAACATTGCTCTACTTAATTTTGTTACTCTCTTTTCAAATTAGCAAAAGAGTGAACTAAATTCTTAAAAACAATAGGCACAAAAATAAGAAAAGCATATTTAAATCTTCTTATGACTCAAACAAAAATTAGAAGGTTAAAGAAAAACCAAAGAACGGCACAATGTGTTGAAAAAATGTATAGAAAATTAAAATAGATTAAAAAGAAAATTAAGGAATAATCCAAAGAAGATTAAAGAGGATTAAAGATTAAATTTAGAGGGATCAATTACTTGATTTAAGAGACTCTTTTAAAATGAAGAGGAAAAATTTTGGACAGAATTAATTGGATAAGAGACCTAAATAGGATTGAAGAGCTATTATAGAATGCAAATTAAATTAGCATGAGTAAGTTTTAATCAAGGAGGGGGCATGTAAGATAACCTATGAGGTATATGAGTTTGACATTCCTAGCAATGTCACTCCATTATTTTCTATTTGGAATATAACATTCCCAAAAAAAATTGAGACTTGTGAACCAAACGTGGACATATCACATTCCGGGCATTAGATACCAGCCTGCATAGATGATTACCCCCAACCAAACATACCCTTAAGAGATGTTTGAGAGTTTGGAGGGAAGTGAAGGGGAAAGCTTTGAGGGTATGTTAATGGAGGGTAGAGGGAGGGAAGGTGAGGAAACTCTTCTTCGTATTTGGGAGTAATAAATTTGGAAGAAGAGCTTATTCGAAGGAATTGTAACTTTGAGATATATGACGAAATCAAATAATTGAATGAGAAATTTATCACGTATTTAACTAAAACATCACGTAGTTCGCAATGTATGACTACCTTCAGTATTTTTCCTAATACATGACCGCACATCATCATCTTTCATCCACGCGTGTTTTTATTTTTTTTAATACCAATTGTATCCTTTCATTTAATTAATGATTTGATTTTTTCATCCAAAAATAGGTGATCGACAAGCATACGACGTATTGTAGTGGAGCATGATCAGCGGTATAGTAACTACCTTTCCGGATAACTGCCGTACTATTAATGGGAAATTCCGATACATAAGGAAATAATTAATTGAATGTGAATGTATCATCAGCGGTAAATATATTCATCTTTTACGAACTGTGTGTTCATCTTCCCCGCCTCACGTCTATCATTTCACCGGCAATCATTTCATCTTTGAAGTGAAGCAGTATCCATGGATTCCATCCCAGTAGGTTACCCGGAAATGTGGATTATGATAAAATATGATGGCCAATGGGTTTCAAATACTTTGTTCTCTAGTATTCATGTTGCCGGCTTAACTATACCTTCAAATTGTACGTATGATTCTCTATATTATCGTGTTTGCGCTGCTATGGGTGAGAATTATGCCGGGAAGAATATTAAGATTTCATACGTTTTTGCTACCTGCCCACCTCCCGTTAATGTATGTGATGACGATGGTCTACACTTTTATCTACAATTGAAGAGTTTTCAAAAGGACCCGATGCAAATGCCGTTGTGTGTTGAATTTTTCTCCGGTGAGGAGGTCGATGCTACGAGTAGAGAGGAACAAAGCATCACAGGAGGTGTTGATATTGACAATGAAAGTGTATTTAACCATTCGAGTGAAGTGGAAGAGCGTGGTGGCTGTTCGTGTGGTGGGTGTGATGGCGAAGACAATAATTTCACTCACAATCTTGATATGGACTTTGAATTTGAGCATATTTCGAGTGCCGACATTATGAGGTTAAATTCTCGGGTTGATGAAGAGATTCATAATATGCCCGTACTCAACCATTTTGAACCCACACGCATTGCATTGAATAGTATCTATGGAAGCAAGAAGGAACTTGATCTTCACCTAAAGATGTATGCCATTACCAACTTCTTTCAGTATAGAACGAAGACATCTTGCCCGAAGGTTTTGCATGTTGTGTGCGTGGACCCCGACTGCAAGTGGGCTGTGCGTGGTGTGCGCATTGACGGAGTGTCATTGTTTCAAGTGAAAAGGTAAGCAGTCATTTCTCCAAGTTACATGACATGCATGTCTATTACTACCCTAAGGTGTATTATTAAAAAACAAATATTTGAATTGTCCACGGTATATACAATTAATGGCCTTATGATGTTCTTTTATTGGGTCACTGTTTTGTTGTTTTAAAAAAAAGTATAAGGAAAATGAAATCAGTATTGTAAGTCGGACATATGCTTTAATGTCCTTTGTTCAGCTCTTATAATGCCATGCGTTTGCAGTAAGTTCTGTGCATAGGTTGTAATGCCCTGGCTTGTGCATTAATTTTTTTTTGTATGCTAACAGTATTCTTTTAACGACATGTTTAATGCACTATGTGCATTTACATTTAATAAAATATAATGCTTGAAAGTTTACTTAATCCCACATCGCACACGGCACCTTGTGTTATGTTTTTAATGCCCTCTTTGCCCTAGTATATTATTATGTACGCTATTCATATGATTTTTCAGTATATTGCCTAATTCTATCAACATATACCTAAAATATTCTTTACTTGTTACTGTTTTTTTTCATCATACATTTTAAATTTCTTGTTACATGTGCATTCATTGTTGTGTCCCCCCCCCCCCCCCCCCCCCCTAAAAATTTTAAACATAAGTTAATGCCCTTCATTAAACATGTTTTTCCAGATTTGACTCTGAGCACACATGCCCCATTGATGTACATCAACGAAATAGTCGTCAGGCTACGTCTAGGATTATTGCCGAACTTATCAAACATGAGTATGGTGATGCATCTAATAAGTCATACCCTCCGAAATCAATTATGCTTGATATGGAGACCAAATACGGCATTTACATGTCATATAAAAAAGCATGGATTGCCAAAGAAATGACAATGGAACTGGATATGGGATCTGAAAAGGATTCATATGCACGCTTACCTTCAATGTGCCATGTGCTTGAAAGGAGTAACCCAGGTTCTATAGTTTCTTATTCGTGCAAGGAAAATGGTGAGTTTAATAATTTTTTCATGTGCCTTTCTGCATGGAGGGAAGGTTGGATTAATTGCATTCCGGTTATAATTGTGGATGAGTCTTTTTTGAAGTCGTATTATAAGGGTACATTACTCACTCCATGTACACAAGATGCAAACAAACAAATATTTCAATTGGTATTCGGTATTTGTAGTGGAGAAAATACTGAAAATTGGTCATGGTTCTTCAACATGTTGAAGCATTCGCTAATGCATATGGATGATCTATATATTGTTTCTGATCGGCACGAGGGCATCATTACCTCTGTGCATTCTGTATTTCCTCATGCGGAGCATGGTTACTGTGTCTACCACATATTGGCTAATTTGAAAACAAGATTTCGTGGCACTCAAAAAACTGTGTCATGGAAGTTTTTGCAGGCTGCTCGTGTTGGATCTGTGTATGAGTGTGAAGGGTACCTTCAAATGCTGGATAGTGAGGATCCACGCATTCGTACGTATTTAGAGCGGATGGGCCACCACAAATGGTCTCGTGCTTATGCTAGTCGGAATCGGTACTCGGCCATGATGTCAAACAATGTGGAGTCATTAAATGCGATTAATGCCACTGCCCGAGAATACCCAATATGTAAGTTGATTGAGTTTGTTATTGCACGAATGCAAAAGTGGTTTTGTGAACGGCGAGAATCTTCATCGTCAAACAATTGCCGTTTATCTGCACACTTTGAATCTGAACTAGCAGTTTTACAAGATATGGCAGCCGTCATGAGAGTATTGCCCTCAACTCATTGTCTTCATTGCACTGATTTTTTTAAAATATACTAACTTCATGTGATATTAAATTACTTTTATTGCTACCAATATTTAATTATAGTTTTTAATGTTTCATAATAAATTTTGCAGGTCAAACCATCATGTGTTTTTGAGTTTGAGGTGTTTGATAAGAGATCCCGCTCTTATGTTGTCAACTTGAAGGAGCGGACGTGCAATTGTCGAGAATTTCAGCTGGATGGGTTTTTATGTGTACATGCCGTTGCAGCTATTCGCTCCCGCCCAGGACTTTCTTGCTACGATTACATTTCAGAATTCTATACAGCACATCATTGGGCACAAACATACCGCGGTATTATTCATCCTATTGGGAGTCCGGATGGTTGGATGGTACCTTCACATGTAAAGCAAATCACTTGCAGCCCCTCATCATGTGAATCACGACCTCCTGGAAGGCCGAAGACAAGAAGAATTCCTTCTGCAGGAGAACATGTTCGGAGACAAAAATGCACTCGTTGCCTCATGATTGGACACAATAGAAAGACTTGTAGGAATCCTATTCCGCTACACATGGGTTAAAAAAAGTTTTTAATTATTTGTCGTTTTTGTTGCAATGCACTCTGTCGTACTTTTTTTGAGGCAGTTTGTTATTTTTCCTTGCAAATCACGACCTCCTGGAAGGCCTTTTTATTCTTTTTCCTTGCAAAGTGAGTGCTGCCATTATATTGTGTATCAATTCATCTCCCTTCTCATCAATGCTACATGTCTTCTTTATATTTCCTTTTGCTCTTTTTGCAGCCACCTTATTCTTTACACCCTTAGTACCACTCTTTGCTCTCCTGTTAATCACTTTCTTGGGGGCACGTTCCACAAAATCATCACTTTCAATTCCATCATTAACACTCATTTCATTACCATCAACCTGCTCATTTCTAAATATCACATCATCAAGTACTTGATGTGAAGGCGTGGCAGAAGTTGACCATTGAACTGTCCTAGGCCACAGATTTGATCCCTCCCTCCTCAGTCCTCACGCACACTTTTGCTTTTTCAAGCCCTGGAAATGTCTCATACGCTCAGATTTGTAACACAAATACATATCCCGGAAAAGTGAACCTTGCACCCGGCTCTTGGTAAAGAACACTTGCACACTTCCTTACCTTTTCTTGTAAATCATCCCATACAACATCCCCCCATGGATATGTATTGAACTTGTTTATATCATCTGCCAAATTGATGTACATAGATGGGAGTGTTGTTGATGTTTGATTTCTCGGAATATAGCTACCAAGGACATGCAATAATCCAAGCTTTACAGCATTCATTTCCTTTGGCCCCCCTTTCCGACCTTCCCTGTTTCAAAAGCCTCTTTAATATTCCCTCTTTTAACTCTTTTCATGCCCTAGAAGTATCTACTCCACAAATCCTCAGGTTCCTTTGTGGATATGATTGGCTTGTCGTTACCAAATGGGAACCCGGTTATTACTGCCAAGTCCCTTTTTGTAAAGCAAACAACTTTATTACCAATCAGAAATTCCATCTTTGTTTTGTCCTCCGGCATATTCAAACGGTCAATGAGATTTGCCATGAGTAGGATTAACAATTGCCCCTTTACCCAAGGAATATTTCCCAAGTCAAGTAAATTTCCAAAGACTGATTTTCTGAATTCAGTCAGCTCATCCTTAGTTAAATGATTCCTTATACTATCAACTGCCTTTATTGGATTGCAATAGCTATTTATTTTCATAGATTTTTCAAGAACAAAGTTATCACACTCAGTCGTCCTCACATACTCCTGCAACACAAAAAGAATCCAGATTTCAAATATCTTAATGCCTACGGAACTTCAGTACATTTCTCTTCGCAGGTATTGATATGATAGCAGCTGATTTAAAGAATATTGTCCTACAACTAATGCTCAATCATAAACACCATTCAAAAAATACTCCACAAGCAAGGCTACTGATTAGGCGCATACATATCACAACAAAAATCTTACCGCCTTTAATCTATTACACATAAACGACTTTTACTTCCCTAACAATAATGCACGGTCACAAACACAACCCCAACACACTGTCCTACATATTATACTGCCTACTTGGTATTGCCCAGAATAAAACACCTTTAATTACCTAAAATATAATGCACAAAACCACACACCAGCATCAAACACTGTCTTACGCTTATAATGCCTAATTCATAATGTCCAGCCACCTTTATTTCCAGAACAAACATCTTAATGCCTACTGAACAGCAGTACATTTTTCTTCGCAGGTACTGATATGATAGCAGCTGGTTTAAAGAATATTGCCTTACAAGTAATAATCAATCATAAACACCATTCAAAAAATATACTCCACAAGCAAGGCTGCTGATTAGGCACATACATATCACAACAAAAATCTTACCGCCTTTAATCTATTACACATAAACGACTTTTACTTCCCTAGCAATAATGCACGTTCACAAACACAACCCCAACACACTGTCCTACATATTATACTGCCTACTTTGTATTGCTCAAAACGAAACACCTTTAATTCCCTAAAATATAATGCACAAAACCAAACACCAACATCAAACACTGTCCTACGCTTATAATGCCTAATTCATAATGCCCAGCCACCTTTATTTCCAGAACAAACATAATGCCCTAACTTCACACACCGTCGCTACCACATTACTGCCCCCAAATCTTTCCAAACACCCAAATCAACCACCAACCCCCCAAAATAAAAACATTTACAATGCCTATTTCACACACCTGCTATTTCCCTTAAAAAACCTAAGATATGCGTCGTTGTCTACCCCTCCCATAGCAGTCCCCCTTATTTTACCTTTCAAAGTATTATTAAATACAGGAAAAACTTACAATTCCGTTGACAGTAAACACATGTGATTCAATCGCCGCATCCTCTGTTGACGCTTCTGGTCGTTTCTCCGACTTCTTCACTTCACTTCTTCCCCGCTTCGGAGTCGTCTTCGTCATTATTGCTTCGTTAGATGCCGCCTCTCTCTCTCACAATTCAAATGAAATTATCCCTGCGAATATGGCGTTACATTCTCCTTACCATAGAGAGAGGCGGTTAGTACGGCAAACCCGTTTTAGCAGCCCAATTTTTACGGCGCACATTTCTCCCTTCTTGCTTTTCCGTTTCTGGGCTTTTGACTTAATTGGAAGGGCAATTACGGTATTTTATTTCCTTTAGTTCGTGCGCCAATGTATGACATGCTATGTTTGGTCATACAATTGATACAAAAACACAAATGGTCATATTTTGGGAAAAAACACATGTTTTAGTAATATTGGGGTATTTTTCCCTAATTGAATTGATATTCAATTTGATCGAGTTTAAATTATCATTTTATTAATTATTCTTTAAAACGCTTCAAATTGAGGGAATTTAAAAATTGAGTATTTAGAGAGTTTTGGAGTGGTACAAAAGCCCTCCAAAACCATCCCATTCAAAATTTTACTCCCAAACATGATTAATTGGGGGAATTTAAAAATTGAGTATTTAGAGAGTTTAGGAGGGATACAAATGCCCTCCAAAGCCATCATCTCATCCATATCGTCCTCATATTAACAATCATGTACACATTATTAAGACCTATAGACATGCATATACTTAATTAATACTCAACACCACGATTAATTAGTCAATAAAGAAATGTAAAAACAAACACACGATTACATCAAAGTTCTGGAGGGTACAGCTCTTGCGTGCACGACTCGCAATGACCAAAGTTCAAAACTCGCAGCGACCATGTGAAGGGTACAGTTCTTGCGCGCTGGACTGGACCTCATATGCGCATGAGTATAAGACATATCACCATTAGATCGACTAAGTCATCGTGACTTACTCATCCATCATTCTGTCGGATCGTGATGTGGGACGTCTCGGGTGGAGGTGGAACAATGTAACTATGTAAGCATATTACTCAAAATATATATAGAATAATGAATGCGACGAACTTTAACAATCAAAGATTGATTTGACTAGCTAGAATTATTTTATGGTATTGAGCACATGGGCACATGATCAAGATGATTTGATTAGGTCATTTCATCCAACGACCATACCGGATGTTCATAATTTTCATAAATCATACAGAGTACTCTGTACTCAATACTAAGGTAATAAACGATTTATTTTAAATAAAACAAACGTTTACATTAGATATGACTAAAACTTCACGAGTAGTTTTGCGAGAAACTCATGAAATTTTCGACTATACCTAACTAGTTTTATTCACAAAATAATACGGAGTATTTAAATTTCTAATATTTAATTAATTTCGTAATTAATAAATAAATAAATTTCATGGAGTAATATACTCCCTCCGTCCCGAATTGAGTTGCAAACTTTGACCGACACAAGGATTAAGGAATGACAATAAATGATGATTGCTTTTTACACTTTTGCCCTTCATCCTAAAAGTAGATGCCTTTAGATTGATGGGAAAAAGTAAAAGTATGGGTAAATTTGTCACTTACTTTTATTTACATATATAAAATGGAAAGTGGAAAATTATTTTGGGACAACCAAAATAGAAAATTTTGCAAAACAAATTGGAACCGAGGAGTACTCTTTAATTAGAATAGGCCTATAAAACTCTAATTTTCTACTCATTTTCTTCAACCCAAGCCTCTAGTCTCCCGCCGCCCAAGATGCACCCGCCTCCCACGACTGCCCGCCACCACTGTTCCACTGCACGGCCGCCTGCTCACCGCTCAGGAGTAACGTCGCCGAGTCGCACAGGGCATGGAAGCATCACCACTAACCTCACGCATGATGGCTGGCTCAGAGGTTGCCGGCGACCTCGCACCTGCGCAGGGGAGCCGACTTGTGTAAAGGTGTTGGTCTCGGGTAGCGATGGCCGGAGAGCCCTCTACGCCGTCGTCCCAAGCCGTGTGTGCCGTCGCCATCCCAAGCCCTGCGCGCTGCCTCCCAGTTGTGCCCCTTCGTCCCCAACCAGCTGCCGCCGCCATCTAACTGCACGGTCGCACTCCAACTCACCGCCGCCATATAGCCACACGACCGTCCGCCTCCATGAGTGAAATACCATACTCGCAAACTCTTCTCCATGGTAATAGAAAAGACGTAGCTGAATAATAGATTAGGTTTAGATTTTCTCATAAGTTCGTACATAGCTCAGTCCATGCTTAATTGTGATAGTGGGTAAAGATTGCTGAATAATTAGGTGTGGATAAAAACTCAAATTTAATAGTGACGATGATTACTCCATCTCTTCTTTTTCCATTTTCGAAATTAGAGTTTGATGATATTAGAGTTTGTGAATAGGGAACATGAGCAATGAACATGACAATAGGTCATGTTGTACAACTATTCGAAGACGATAAATAGTGTTACAACATTAGCAGAAAGTGCAGTGATTATGACCAGTAGTGCAGTAACGCAAAGCAACAATGCTACCATGAAATAAAATATACTTAATTAGACGTAAAATATTAAAGTTATTTAATTTAAAATATCAAATAAGAATTATAAATACATTTCTAAAGTGGATGAAAAGAGAATTAATGTTGGTGAAAGTACAGTGATTATTATTGGATGTGGAGTAATTGGGTTTTAAAGTGCAGTAATTTTAATTGGATGAAATTAGCACCAAAATGCACATATTTTACATAAGATTATTTTCATCATTCAACATTTAAATATAAACAAAATGTTTTTTTATTTTCAGTCATACGAATGACTAAAATCATAGCTAG